GCAGCGCGACCCCTCCAGCTGCCGGGAGAGCCAGGGCTCGGGTGGAGGTGGGGGCGGGGTCGACACCACCCAAAATAGTGCGGAGCCTCTGGGGGGAGGGGCGAGGAGCGGGGCCCTGAGTGCGAGCGATGAGGGTGTGACCAGCGCCGCCCGGACCCCCGGTCCCCTCCCCCGCACATGCTTCAGCTGTTGCGGGGGGCCTGAGAGGACAGCTGAGGGTCCTGGACGGCCCTGGATGGGGGGCGAGCTGGAGAGGGGAGCTGATGCCCGAGGGCAAGAGGCCTAGTAGATACCCTCACACACGATTTGCACATTTCCACACCACCTTTTCTCCTCAGTCGCAGGCACCGTGCACCCTACTTCATAAAGCACTCCTGGGCTTAATGTTCTACAAGCCACCTAGGATGAAAGATGCAAGAAACCCCTCTGACTTTTGCGGGGGATATAGGGAGTCTTTCTGCCCAGATTAATGTCAGGGTCTTCCCCTGAACCCCAGGTCAACCCAGGGCACCGGGCAGATGCCTGGTATTGACATGCTGACAGTCACTGCTTTCCTCCAGAGACCCGCAAAGAGTTAATGTCCCTGGGGCCCAGCCTAGGAAGATTCCAGTCCCTGCCCAGGCCCAAGATAGTTGCTGGCTCCATTCCCTTGGCATGCAAGACTGGAGAGGAGGAGGAGGGGCACACTGCCCGTGCCTGCTTGGGATTCCTGACTCTGTCCCAGCTTCAGAGAATGGGGGTGGGGGTGGGTGCCATTGGTTGTGGGCGGAAAGCTAGTGAAACAAGACCATGACAAGTCACTGGCCAGCTCAGACGTGTTTGTGTTTCTCTTTTCTTAGCTCAGTGAGTACTGGGTATGTGTCACCCTGCCAAATCCCCGATCACAAGTCTCCATGAACCGGCGGTGAGCTGGGATAATAAAACCCCTGACATCACCATTCCAGAAGCTTCACAAGACTGCATATATAAGGGGCTGGCTGCAGCTGCAGCTGAAGGAGCTGACCAGCCAACTGACCCCCCACACTCACCTAGCCACCATGGACATCGCCATCCACCACCCCTGGATCCGCCGCCCCTTCTTTCCTTTCCACTCCCCCAGCCGCCTCTTTGACCAGTTCTTCGGGGAGCACCTGTTGGAGTCTGACCTCTTCCCGACTTCTACTTCCCTGAGCCCCTTCTACCTTCGGCCACCCTCTTTCCTGCGGGCACCCAGCTGGATTGACACTGGACTCTCAGAGGTGAGTCTCCTGTCTGCCAGGATGGCAGACTCCTTCCTGGAACCTCCTGGAAACTTCTCTGTCCATTTTCCTTTTCTTCTCTGCCCAAACCACTTTAGTCACACGTGTGGTCAGAAGTGAAGAAAAATGAGGTTACTAGTGCCTCCCTTTCCCAGTCACTGTTTCTATGGAATGTTTCTCTGTATGATATTTATCACACTTTTCCATGCCCTGTGAAGATCATCCTCTGTCTCCCGGCTTCTGAGTAGAATACCCTCTCCTGGTTTGGTTCATAATGCAGGAAAAGAACTGCCTTTAAATTCCTTTGCTAGTCTCTTCTAATACCCATACTCCTGACAAACTGTATCATCTTAAGTTTCAGAGTCATGAGAGTCCTGCCTCATCCTAAGCTTTTTATCCCCACTGGGGGGAACTGGAGACAACCACCACTATTTTCTTTCTATTTCCTCTGCTGTGATGTTCTGGGTTCCTCAGGGCTGTGACAGGACACCAGCCTGGGTCCAAGCCTTATGAGGAAAGAATATAGGTTAGTCTTTGGACATCCTCCCCACCCCCATACGTGTCCTAAGATGGTGGGAGAATTGGGTAAACAGATAAGGTTGACAGAGGCTGTCACAGATAACACTCTGGTTTAAAAATATTCAAGTGTGAGTAAACAGGAGCTGAGGGGGCAAGGGCTTTGGAAGGACAAGCCGGCCCAGCAGAACATTCCTGATTGTGTGGGTGGAAGATCTGGCAAAAAACAAAACAAAACAAAAAACCTGAGTAATAAGAAGGAGCTTTTGTTTTACAGACAAATGACAAAGCCAGGCATTGGGGTTCAGAGAAGCAGCTAAAGCCAGGCCCAGACCCATCCTGTGATTGGTCCCCTGGGTGATCTGTCTTCTTCTCTGTCCCTGCAAATAAAGTTTGGAACTGATGACTGAGAGTCTTGGGTATCACTGTGGTGGCTCCCCTGAACCAGAGAGCCATGTTTATTCAAAAATGGATTTTTAGCAGAAAAGAGGAAGATAAATTACCTGGACAGAAGGCACATCTGCAGAATAGTGAGACTGCATCAGTGTAATCAACATTCCTGCTGTCTTTTCTCCCACTTCATTCTCTCACCTTGCTATTTCTAGATGCGCCTGGAAAAGGACAGGTTCTCCGTCAACTTGGACGTGAAGCACTTCTCCCCAGAGGAACTCAAAGTCAAGGTGTTGGGAGATGTGATTGAGGTGCATGGCAAACATGAAGAACGCCAGGTACAGAGCTTGGTTTTTTCCTTCTCATTCATTCATACTGTAATATATCAGGTACTGCCATCAGCCTCTGAGGCTGGCAGCATTCCAGTCCTCAGTCATAAAGGGTTTAAAAATCAATTGCAAGAAGACTAAATTAGGGATAGACCTGTTGTTATTGTTGTTACAACTGGAGAAGTGGCCCTTGTTGTTTGTTTTTGATTGCCTTAGATGGGATGGATGGGACATTCACTCCTCATAAAAACCAGTGGTTGTCAACCGTGGTGTTAGAATCACAGGGGAATTTTAAAAAACCCCAATACTCAGACATACTCCAGAATTCTGAATTGAATCAGAATTCTTAGACAGGCAGCAACATTTTTTAAAGCTCCCTAGATAATTCTAAGCTACAGTCAAGGTTGAGGACCACTAATTTTGGCATAGTCAGTTACCTGGTTGCTTTACATAAACACATTAACTGCATGTACCCTGAAGGCACTGAGTTTTGACTTCTCTTTTAGATGTTCTGGGATTTACTTTTCCTCTTTAGGCCCATCTTAATGCTGAACTACTTGGATTACCTAAATTTCAGAGTTGTACTCAGCCCGTAATCCCTTATAGTTCATGTGGAAATCAGTTAATTGAAAGCCTGTTTGAATAAATGCTTAAGATTCACCAGGCATAAAGGTTAAGGTCATCTACTCTTTGGGGAATTCTGATGAATGGAACAATTTCTCACGACTTTCTGGGAGGACTTCAAAATAGTTCTCACCAATAAGTGGCAACTCAGAACCTGTGCATCAACTAATATAGTTTAATGTCCTCAAGCTGTTTCAGTTTTGCTCATGTAAGTTTGGGTCATAGTCTCCCTGGACGGAGTCACTTTTTTTTTTTTCCCAGCAGCAGTCCTATTGGTCTGGAACATTCTAGAACATTCCTGAAGAGTCAGAACAATTTTTAGGCTTCCTCAAGGGACTCAGATCCTCAATGCCAGCAGGAGATCCCACATTCTGTAGACCAAGCCAACAATGATCTAAATCTTTGGGAAATACCCCTGAACATATCTGTGCCTCAGGGTTTGAAAAACTATAAAGTTGTGGGCTATTTCAGGCTTCTTAGACTCTCACTGGTAGGAGTAATTACCTAAGCAACTCATTCTTAGCCCTAAACCTGAGATGAACAGCTATTGATCTTTCTCTCATGTTGCCATGTCATTGGTCTCACCTAAAGGGAATGGGGATGCAAGTGATATTATTTTCTATTCTTATCGCCTTCTTTTGGATTAGGATGAACATGGTTTCATCTCCAGGGAGTTCCACAGGAAATACCGGGTTCCAGCTGATGTGGACCCTCTCGCCATTACTTCATCCCTGTCATCTGATGGGGTCCTCACTGTGAATGGACCAAGGAAACAGGGCCCTGGCCCTGAACGCACCATTCCCATCACCCGTGAAGAGAAGCCTGCTGTCACTGCAGCTCCCAAGAAGTAGATGCCCATTCTCTAACTGCATTTTTTAAAACAAGAAAGTTTCCCCACCAGTGAATCAAAAATCTTGTGACTAGTGCTGAAGCTTATTAATGCTGAGGGCAGGCCCAAATTATCAAGCTAATAAAATATCATTCAGCAACAGATAACTGTCTTGTGTGTGAATATTCAGTACGCTTTTGAGTAAATGTACAAACACAGCAGATCCATTTAATCATTGCATTATGATTTAGGGGGCTTCAGGAACTTCAGAGTCAGAATGACTGGTTCCATTTAGGCAAGTTACTTAGCCTTTCTGGTTTTCAGGTCTTCCACTCATAACATGGAGTACTGAGCTGGACAGAGCTGTTTTAAGAAGTAAATTAAGGAGAACAAGTAGGTAAAGCTCCT